TTAGCAAGTCAAAAACCTGATGTGCAGTTGAGAAAACTAGATTACTGAAAAAATAAACTTTAAAGAGCTAGCAAAATCCCATATAGTATTCTTTGCTATCCCTCAAATAGGTAAAGGACAAATTGTATATACAGGCTATATAGTATAAAAGGAAATAGGGACCATTTTTTGTTAAGTGAAAATAAAATGTTACCTGTTGCATATGTTTTTATTTGCTATAAAATTATAAAAAGAAAGCAAGACATCAACAGGAGTGATGAGTTCTTATGTACCTATCCAATGACTATACCTCATTTACAGTCAGAAAGCTTTCGGGATGTCAGATATGGTACAGGGTGGCTCTCGTTCCACGTCCAAAGGTTTGGTGACAGTGGTGTGCTGAGGGGCACAGCAAGCACAACAGGGAAACTGCATTTCCATAAAAGCTACTCTACTCTTGGCATGATTATTCATGTTATATTAAAATTCCTTTCATTACCAAGCCCTCACCCAGCTCAAGTATGGTAGGATTTACATAGGCAGAAAATTGAGCTTGAAACAATTCTTTTGGACACATTGCTTGCCTAAAGGACCACATAGATCTAAAAAAGTGACACTGTGTCATCTTCTGAAATTATATGAAATTGAATACAATCAAGGCAATGTGAGTCAAACAAAATCATTGTTTCATTTTTAAGTGCAAATACAGGTACTGTTGAAATTAATGTGCACCTGGTTTTCGTATGAAGTAGCACTTTCTTTCATCATCAAGCCATTCAGTTGTGCCATGTAGAAGAGGGAGAGGAAAGAAAGGCAGACTGTGTGCTTCAGCTCGGTGTATGGCCAAAAGCAATATGTTTATAATAAAATGTTTGACATTCTAATTGTTTTATATCATTTTAAGCATACTGTAGCAACTTGTTTGTTTACTTTATGTGCTTAGTTTTTAGAATTATTTTTACAATTTCCAACCAAATGTACTGTACATTTATATAATTTATTGTGAGGACCTTCTCATGGAAACCATCAAGGAGACAAACTGGGGGCAAATATCACATTAATCTGTATTATCGATTTCTTAAAGACACTGTGCTAATGTGAATTTAAAATGATCTGAATAAATATATCTGTTATCTCAATACAGATAGCAGTTTGGTCACCTGAGTTGATTACAATGGAGTAACTGAGAATATATTTATTTATAAAGCCAGCATTCATAATAATGAGAAGATTGGAGGGCAGAAACCACTGAAGCAAGATCATTCTGAAATAAAATGTCATTTTTTGAATAGTTTGTCCTAAGGTGTTTAATAATGTTAACTTTATGTAAGGAAAATTCTCCTGCTCCAAATAAAGTTACAGTTTAACAAAAAACTGATTTGAGTATTTTGTTCCTGTTCTTATATTCTTCATCAAAAAAACTTTGAGGATGGGGCTGGTATAGTGCTTACTTAGCATATGCAAGGCAATGGGTTTTATTCTCAGGACTACGATAAATAAATAAATAAGAATAAAAATGTAACTGTAGTAGTTCCTAATTTTCATATTTTAGTTAGTTCATTTGGAACTTTGATATTTATAACTTCTTAATCCTAGTATAGTGTTACTGCTGTGAAGTTGAAAGCATACACATAGAGTAGCAATATGAATATTTATTTTGCAATTAAAGGATTTTTTAAAATTTTGATTCATTATATATAACAGTGGAATGCATTATAATTCATATTACACATAGAGCACAATTTTTCATATCTCTGGTTGTATTCACACCATTCGTGTCTTCATACATGTACTTAGGGTAATGATGTCCATCTCATTCCACAGTCTTTCCTACCAACATTCCCCCTTCCTTCCCCTCCCACACCTTTGCCCTATCTAGAGTTCATCTCATCCTCCCATGCCCTTCCCCCCATTATGAATCAGCATCCTTAAATCAGGGAAAACATTCAGCATTTGTTTTTTTGGGGGGATTAACTAACTTCACTTAGCATTATGTTCTTCAACTCTATCCATTTACCTGCAAAGGGATTTTCTTTTTTTTTTTTTTTAGGCTTTAGCTAGTTAGGTGAATGGGGACATTTTTTAAAAAGCTGATCAAAGCAATTTTTGTTGCTGATTTCATCATGCTTGTTTTTTTTCACCTTTTCACTGCAAATTTATATATAACTGAAACCTTCAAAAGAAATTCATAATTCATGAACCATATACAGAATGCTACAGGAAATTCATTTTCTAAACATTCTTTGAATCCTTGAGAGATTTTGTAGAAACATAATCTACCAGTCAAACATGATGATGAAGCCCTAAATGTGTCCCTCACATTGGAACGTGGCTGATCCCTACGGTACCTCAATGAGCATTCGTCTAAACTTTTGGCAATCCTGACCCTTCAAAAGTCTGGCACCTTTCGGGATCTCAGGCATCCTTTCATTCAGGATGAAAACCTACTATTAGAATGGGTCTGATATCAGGCAGTTATAGCTAAGGTTGAATTTAAGCCAATAATTTCCCTCTTCCTGGTATATTTACCTAGAAAGCTTCCCTCAAACAAATTTAAATCTCTCAATTTTTGTTCAAGCCATTTTACATGCTACTGAGTGAGCAGGTGAAGGATTAAGGCTGAGAAGACTTGCCAAAAGTACATCAGATAAGCGGGTAGAGACTCAGATTGTCTCAGATCCAGAGCAACTCCAAGGTCTCCAAAAATAGTATGAATTCATGGGCTTCCATGAATAAAAGACAATGGTAGAATTATTATAACAGGATTTTTCATTTCTCTATACATCTGTATAATTATAGGGGCTTATGGTACTGCCTTACGTACTGGTGAGAAGATTGGTAGGATGATGTTACCCATATTTTATGAGATTAGACATATGGAATTAGCATTTTTTAAGATTAAGAACAATAGTCAAATATCAGCAATTTGATAAGATTAAAACAGATAGAACTAAGCAAAGTCGAATAATGATACTGTGCATCTAGCTCAATTAAGTAAATCCCTGTATAAAGATTCAGTTGAAAAAATTAATAAAGAATGATCACTTTCAGTAGGGTGGAAAATGCAATTTCTTACCCCTGGTAACCTGAATAATCACTGTATCAGGTAAGAATTTGGAAAATGAAATTGGACACATGCTGTCAGTGTTATTTTAAAGTGACTCTTCAGACTCCTGGGGTACATAATTGTCCTAGAAGTGCTTTATCTTTTACTGACCTGTCCTGCTGCCAGTTTGATCCATCATTAATCCTTCTTCCAAGTCATAACTGGGTATTCAATTGTCTAGTGGACATTTCCAGGTGGATGGCTGATTGGAACAAAAGATATGTTATGTCTCCAAAACTTTGTCTTCCTCCCCTGGGATTAACTAAGGTAAAAAAGAAAGCATTATTCATTCATTCATTCATGAAACAAGTTTTCTCTGAATGTGTACTCCATAGTAAGCAGGGTACAATAAAGGAAACAAACAAAAAAAATAAAAGACAAAAATCTTTAACCTCTTGGAATTTACATTTTAGTAAATCTATAGATAAATAAATAATATGATAGATGACAATTAATGTTATGAAAAATAGGGTATAAAAGGAAGTGTGTATGTGTTTGTTTGTGTGTGTGTGTGTGTGTGTGTGTGTGTATACACCCAATCACTTGTGAATGAGAGAAAAAGGGAAAATTGGTAGGGAGGCATTATTCTAGACATTTCCTCTTTCTTCCTTCCCTCATTAGTAAATCCTCTGCCTTCTATCTATATCTTGTCTTTTCTTACCCATCTTCTTCAAACTCACAATACTACCTGAGTTCACACACTTAACAGAGCTCCATTTCTATACTGGCACATTTCTAAATCATTCTCCACACTCCTGTCAGAGCAATCTACTAAAAATAAAATCTCATAAGGTTAAGGTACTGTCAAGAGCCCTTCATGGGTGAAGACAATAATCAACAACATGCTATAGCCAAGAAATCACAGAAGCTGCTTCTAAAAAACAGCAAAAAAATGTTTCTATATGTATAAACAATATATATTGCTGGATATCAAACATACCAGGCAAGTGCTCTGCTGCTGAGCCACATCTTTATGCCACAGGTATATATTTTTTAACTTTAAAATCTACGTGAATTTTGCATTTTTTTTCCGTTTACATAAGCTTAACTTTTCATTAAAATTTAAATTATATAATTTAAAGTTTTAACTTATTAACTTATTCATGAGCCAAATTTCTTTTTTACCACCATGTCCACTAATATCCTAATGTCCTCTGTTGAGTGGGTGCTATGTTTGGCCCTGTGGCTCAGAGGACTTGTTTCTAAAACGTACGAATTGAAGGAATTGCTTAAGATGATCCATTGGAATAAAGGAAGAAAGAGGGG